CCCGCCAAGAAAGGCATTCAGAAGGTCCTTCCCGAAAGCCTGCGAAGGGCAAAAAAAGCGACGACAAAGAAGGAAGCATCGCCACCTCCCCGTAAACGATCGCCATCACCTCCGCATGAATTCGTCCTGGCCGACAACCCTGATATTGCTGTATGTATTCAGCGCGTCGCATGTCTTGTCGCGATGGACGCGACAATATGCGCGTGCGCAAACGTCCCAATGTCACGTAGCTAATTCGCGATTGCGCTCCCAGTTCATTGTCATGTTCCGAAGCCGATTCAACGAAGCCATGCCCAAGTCGCTTGCCAACTTTGGCCCCCAAGAACTCGAGACTGACATCAGCGACAGCCCGCCTGGCCAGCGGGTTGAAAACTTCCTGTGCGCCGTGCTGGGACTGCTTCTCAACCGCAAGCAGGATGTCAAGTATGCCACTTGCCCCTGCCCCAGTCGGTACCCTTCAATATCATTAATCAGATCATAGGCCCGGCCACTACATGCGCGCGTTGGAGGATGCTATCAGTAGCCACAAGAACCAGTGGCCTCGAGCGTGGGAAGGCAAGAGCCCATTGTCTGGCGGCGTCACCTTCAACGACATGAACAATGTGCAGAGGGTATGTATAATGAGCCCTCCCTCTATGCAACTCGTTGCTGATACAGTGCTCCACTAGCTCAAGATACTTCGCGCTCTGATCCTCTGGTCTCTCTCCGCCTCCGAAGCTATCAAGGCCATCATAATCAAGTCTTACAAACAGAATCGTCACGAAGACGACATGAACCAGCCACTCTCCGTCCAGCCGTGGGGCTCTGATAGTGACAAGAGACGCTACTTTCTGGTCGAGGGCCTGGATGACACGGCCTTCCGAGTCTATCGCGAGGGCAACCCAGCAAGCTTCAACCGGGTTTGGATCTCTGTTGCTGGGTCAATCGAAGAGCTGAACGCACTGGCCGAGAAGCTACAGACGAAGGATGGTGGCCCAAAAGCCAAGAAGCTAGCGCAACAGATGCTTGCGGCCGTTCCCAGGTTCGAGGCTACAGAAGAGGTAAGCTACCAAGCGAGGCCGGCCATCTCTTTTTCGGCTGCTGACGAGAACCAGAAACGCCGTAGACGCGAATACCGCCAAGCGCAGAGGAATCGTTTCAAGCGGCCTTCACCTGGCTTCTCTCTGTATGAGGGGCGCACACGTGGCAAGCGCGTCAAGTACACTTACTCGGACGAGGAGGATGGCTCATTCACCGACTCTACGCGCCGATCGACTCGTAATACGGGTACACACACGCCTACCGAGCTTGCGGGTCCCCTGACGACTGCGAGCGGCCGCCAAGTACGGGCGCCGAATCGTCTGGAGGCTGAGGGCACTAGCAGTGCCGCGCCTAGTGTGCAAGGAGACGATCCGGAAGACGGCGGCGTCAACGCCAATGGCAGACCCCGGCGATCGGCGGCAGTCAACTATGCTGGTAATGGCAGGGCCCGGGGCAGCAGGTCCCGAGGCTACTCAGCCGATGAGACGGACGATGAGGGGGATCTCGTCGAGCCTGACCTTGGCGACGACGAGGAAGAGGCAGATGACCATCAGCCAGAGGAAAGCGAAGAGGACGACGATGACCATGTCGACGAGGACGAGGCCATGGTGGAAGATGATCTCGAAGACCGGCCGCGACAGGAGCTAATAGTGGAGCTCAAGGTCAAGCGACCAAACCCTAAAGATGGCGCAACGGCGACAAATCTGACGCCTTCTCCCGAAGGCAAGGAAGAAGTTCGACATGAGAAGCCCGATGACCAGAAGGTCCCGACCCCGAAGAGCCTGCAGACAGAACGCACACCGGAACCTGAGATTGTGGCTCTGCCAGGTCCCACATCCCTGGCTTTTAGGGGAAGCCCGGAGAAGAGCCTGTGAATGATGGCTCGACTCTCTGAAGAATGTGAGCTTTCTGTTCACCGAGGCGTGGAACGGCGTTTACGGGGAAAGGACGGGCGGTTCGGATGAGGCCTACCGTGTTTTCACGAGGTCTATAGCTCAAGGCGCCCCGGGTATGGCTCCTATCTATTAAGGCGAATCAGATATTATCACGATGACCAATGCCGCAGGGTGCGTGCGTAGTGGTTTCATGACTTGGAAGAGAAAACACCGCGATGAGCGATGGTGTTTAGTAGCATGCTATGAATACAAGTCTTTTGCCCTTTGCCCTTTGCCAATTTATTTGCCTTGGCTGAAATACTGGCCGTGCTCTATCGCCGTGCCGGCTGCCGCCTGACCGCATGTGCCCTTCATGCTAGGCCTGTGATGAAGTCCCTACCTCCTGATCGGGGCGGGTATCGCCCACTTGTTGACGCCATACCACCACCTGCGCACCCTCGCCCCGACGGAGCTCCCATGGATCTGTGCGTTGCGGTTCCAGCTCTGCCAGCCGAGAAGGAAGAGGTTGTACACGACGCCCTGCACCAGCGGCATCAAGACCTATCCACTGAGGTGTCAGCAATGCTCCCACCAGTTGCTGCAAGCGTCGAGCCTGGTCAACCCTGCGCATTCCCCCCTGTGAGCGCCACGCACCTGGTCCCTCGTCGTGATCCATGCCACGCCCTGCCATGACTGTGCCTTGGCGAGGCTGTTGAGGTAGCTCTGCTCGAAGCGCAGGTCGGGCATGGGCGGGAGGTTGTGGGAGCGACGTCGCGGGCGAAGAACGCTGTAGGGAATGTCATCTTCGAGGTTGTCGATGCCGTCATCGGACGCCGAGTCGAGGTCGAGATCAATGTCGACGGGGCGCTTCTCTGAAGCGGCGGTCGAGGGATTGAGGTCGTGCGTCGGCGAGGGCGCGCGGTTGATGTGTGCTGTCTGGACCGTCTCAGCGATCTGGGTGGGTATTGAAGTGTCCATGACGGGCAATGTGGTCCTGGGAGAGCTGCTCTTGATGAAGGGGGTTACTATTCGCAACACACCATATACATACACACACACGCGAATGGGCGTGGTCTAGAGCTTCGCAGTTGCTCGCTGGTTGCAGGAACCCGATAGGTGCATCTATCTGAGGTCATTGTATTGCTGTAAGCAGCTTGCTCATGCTGTAAGCAGGGTTTCGGGGCGCTCTATCTCGACTTTGCATTCCTTATCGCATCCCTCCGCCCCACCCCGCCCGCCCCTCATCCCTTCCCGTGCCCGCCTGCCCACCTGCCCACCTGCCCGCCTGCCCACATGCCTGTCCGTCGCTCCGTCCTCCCATCATCTCGCCCAATGCCATGTCCGTCTTTGTCACGACCTCTGCTGCTGCTCCTTCGCCGGCGACACAGAGACTGGACGCGACCACCATGGATCAACGAAGCCCTCCCGAATTTATGCTAGACGCCTTCGCCGACCCGGCCTCAGTGCGCGATGTTGTCAAAGGTATGTCTGCTTTCTTTTGCCGCTCGCGCCGTTTCCTAGACCGGACCCCGCGTCATGCTCCGATGACGCTGCTGCCGCTGGTCGCTGCTTTGTAGACCTCAAACTATCACCAACAACCCCCGGCTTGCATCCCCCCTCTGCACTCTTTTGCACTCTCAAGTACATCGCGCTGACCGGAGACGACCACAAAAAAAAAGGCATCTTACATACAATCTTCTTCCACCGCTTCTTCCCCGCCCTGACACCCCGCACCCGCGACGTGCTCGACCTGACGCTGCCGCACGTCGACGACGTTGAGCTCGAGACGCTCATCGACCAGCGCCTCCGCCACCTCGACGCCGCCCCAGCCGACGGCCGCGGCCAAGTGACTGTGCAGTTCTTCGAGCGCCGCCGCCGCAAGGCCTGGCTCGTCGGTCGCGGCGGCGAGGAGGAGCCTGCTGGGAGACGTGGACGGTGCGGGTCACCGTCGCCGAGCCGCGGACCGAGAGCGGTATGCCCCTCTTCGCTCGGCATGTTCCTTGGAGCAAAGTTGCTGCCCGTCGATGGCTGTCATGCTGACCTCCCTCCCCTTCCCCTTGAGCAGAACGCGCAAAAGTCCGCAAAGCCATGGAGCAGACCCTCCTCACGACCGTCATGAAAATCGTCACGCACGCCAACGCCCACAAGGACCACATCCCGCCCATCACGGCCCAGGGCGCGAATCCCTTTCCCTACCAGATCAACGTCAACCAGAAGGAGAGCGGCGGCTGGGCCTCGCGCATGGGCATCTACTGAGGGCGGGCGGGTTGGCGTGCTTGTCGTGAGGCTCCGCGACGTGGATGTCGTCGAGGCAGTCCGAAGCCAGCGTTCAAAGGCTGCACCAAAGGCTGCACCATAGGCTGCATCAAAGATGGCAAACTGAGACCACGGCCAATAGCGCCTGGTTTCGTTTGCTTCTCTCGAATTCCGACTCGACTTCCGAACGACGACACAATCGACACACTCAAAAATTACCGAGGGACCCCCACGACATGCGCCACGGGCCTGCCCCCATTTGTCTCTCGACATGATTTTTTTTTCTTTTGTACGGATTTCGACGGGAAACAGGCGTTCGCAGTCGGGCGTCACTTGCGGCGCGATTTTGCTTTTGCGCGCCTTTTTTTGGTTAAACAATCACTATATAGAGAGGCCACGCCGTGTGCTGAGCCCGTGCTTTGAACAAAGATACCCCTTCCATAACGCCGAGAGAGACTGCGCGCGCGCGTGTGAGTGAGCGAGTGAGAGAGAGAGAGAGAGAGAGAGAGCAAGTCGAGACTCATCCGTTCACTCCCCCATGTGCATGAACCGTGCAGGAACTGGTCGCTGCTGCTGAAGAGCTATTGAATGCTCGCGTCGAGCCGCGTGGGTGACGAGGCGTCCGGTGGCGTCCAACATGCCACCAACGGGCTGGGTGAGGTGCGAGGGGACTCGGGGCTGTGTAGCGTCGATTTCGAAAGCAAGGGGGGAAGTCAGGTTGCCCAATGTCAAGTCGCTAGTAGACCGTGTCAAACGATCAGAATCGAGTCAACCGCGGACATGTCAAGCCCGCAGACGTCCAAATCACATCACGTCATCATGTCAAAACAGGTTACCCTGCGCCAAATCCTATACGAGAGGGAAAACCATAGTCAAAATAATCAGTCCACGTGTAAGACAAGTAAACTACCCCATCCGTAGAATGCAGCTGTACACATCCAGCGATGCTATCACCGTTGCCTATCCGAGTCCTTTCCTTGCCAAGCCAAACACAAAACCAGCCGGAACCGCAAACGCCAGCCGTTCATCCAATCCAGACACAGGCCAGTCCAAGTGTTCCACAGGCCCCAAGAAAATCAAACATACAAAAAAATCAAATTTCCGTGCTTCCGTGCGTGCTGCATCATGCAATCCATCCATCGAGCCATACTCAAGTGTTTGTGCGTCTCCTCCATCCGTCATTATCGTCATTACTCGGAATAGTTAAGGAAAGTATCATAGGCAGCAGGGAAAGCCGCGAAGCCCATCCGGCACCCTCTAATAGTGTGGGCCGGCCCTGCTGCCCGTCCCCATGGAAGCATTTGATCCTTTGAGGGTGTCGCGAGTGCCGTCTGTCTCGTTGCGTCGTAAAAGAAAAGTGGTGTCCATCTCCAGCGGATGGCCGGGCAAAATGGGCACCTCCCGTCACCGTTTTTAACTACAAGGCTCTACACGCTCGTTAGAAGCGGGTAGTGTAGCTCCTTGGGAGCCCAGGCTTCGCGGGCGCCTTGGTCTCTGTTGACTGAGAGCCCGAGCCGATCTTCTGGAAGCCCTGGCACATGTCGAGAGGGTAGTTTTCGCTGTCCTCCATGAGGAAGCTCGGGTCGTCAAGAATGTTAGGGAAGAAGCCATCGGGAGGCATATCGTAAAAGGAGCCCATCTTAGGCGGGGATGCACGCTTGCTGGGCGACTGCATGCTGTAGGGCTTAGAGGGTGACGAGTCAAGTCCCATGAACACCTTGCTTGGCGTCTCCCAGGTGATGGCTTCGGATCCCTTGAGGAAAGGTGTCGAAGTCACCGCGGCGCCGTTAGGCGCACTGGTCAGGTCGGCCAGAGCACTCGCCGACTGGGTACGCTCAATGCGGGGGCGCTTAGTCGACTTCTTGCAGGGCGACTCATAGGCGGCTGCGCCGGCAAACATGCCTTCGTCCAGGTCCTGCCAGATGTCGAGGTCGGGATAGTTCATGCTGTTGAAGTCGTACAACGAGTGCTCGAGATTGAAAGCGGGACTCCAAGGCGTGCTCTCATCGCCAGCGCCTGTCATCTTCCGTAGCGGTGATTGCAACATGGCACGGACCTGGTCACGGTGAATCTGTAGGTTGGTGTTCGGCGAGGCCGAGGGCGGCGCACGTTGCGGAGCCTTCAGCTTCATGGCGGGTGTCAGAGGCGGGAGCATCTGTCCCTCGGCGGAGCGGAAGGGCGATGAAGAAGGAGGAGGGAGAGCGTTGTACGAGCGTCCCTTGCTGGGGCTGTCGTAGGAAGAAGCGCGGAGCCTGGCGATTTCCGTCTCGGCGCGACCCTCACGGCTGGTGCGGCCACGCTTTGAGCGAGGGCGGTCAGCCTCAGATGTCAGCAGGCCGGGTTTCGTGGACCTCATGGCGGAAGACTCGAGAGAAGAGATGTAGCCACTGTCGTCCATGGAAGCAAACTTGCGCTTGTGTGAGCGGTTGATCGACGATGTAGCCAGAACCCCCGCTGCGGGAGGCGGCGTGCGGCTTTGTGAGCCCATATGGCGAGGGACAGGAGGGGACGAGTGCATGGCGGCAGGCATGGGTGAGTACAGGTGACGCTCAAACTGCGCCTCCGACTCTGGGCCTTTGTCGGCGCCGTCTTCGGGTCCGGCGGGATCGGAGATGGGAATCGTGGCATCCGACGACATCTCGGCGGGCAGGGTAGCCTGCGAGGTCGGGAGCGGCGGCAGCGTGGCGCGGCTGACGGGCGCAGGCGGGGGCAGCGTTGGTTCGGGCAGAGGCATCGAGACGGGGCGAGAGGGTTCGAGGCGAGTGGACATGACGGGCAGGTTCTCGGCCGTCGAGGCCGTTTTACGCGTGGGCTTCTCCTTGATGAACTGCTGCTCCATGCCTGTCTGAATGGTCCAGTAGTTGCCCTTGCCCGGGTCGTCCTTGGGTCGCTCAACCTTGATGAACGCCTTGTGAAGACTGAGGTTGTGGCGAATGCTGTTCTGCCACCCGGCGTCTTCGGCCTTGTAGAATCTGAAGCTGTCTGAGATCCATTTGTAGATCTGGGCCAACGTGAGACGCCTGAGGGGCGATCGCAGAATGGCCATTCCAATCAGCTGCGCATAGCTGTGTCCGGGCTTGTTGCCGTCATCGGTGATGGGCGGGAAGGAGTCGTAGGGTGGGAGACCAAATTCGTCCAGCTTTGCCTTCTTCACAGGTCTTGCCTCCTTGATAGGAGCGGCATCCATCAATCCACGCTTCCCAGGGGTCTTCTGCGACGGGAGAAAGTACGTGTCAAAGTTCATCGTAGGAGGCGCGGGGAACAGTTGCGGCTGCACGTTTTCTTGCCGTAGTTGAAGCTCGCGTCGGTCACGGGTTTTTGGGCGACCGTCTTGAACTGGGAGAGATAGGGCTTCTTCTGAAGAGAGTCCGTGTTGGCGGCCCTGGAGGAATGGCGGTGCCATTGTGACCATGCCGAGGCGGTTGCTCTGTGCGGGTTGCAGCGAGGTCAATGGCGCGCTGTTCATGTGAGCACCCTTGACGGGCGACTGTCGGAACGAGGAGGAGGAAGGGGGGTTGAGGACGACGTTGCTGTTGGAGGAGGCGAGGGGCCTGCGAGGGGGCTTGGCCACGGCGGGCATCGGCGCGTGGCTCATCATGGGGGTTAAATTTTCGTAGTAGTCGTCACGGAAGATTTGAAAGTTGTCCTGGGCGCCGCCGGCAAGACGTGTCGGTCTGGCCATGTCGACTCGACCACGGATGATCGGGTAGGAGAAGCGTTCGATGTCGGGGATGTCTAGCAGCTAGCAGACGAAGGAATTGGTGAGGCTTGATCGATAACACAGAGTTGTCGTCTTGGAGGGTTCTGGGTTAGCTAGGGTGCGGAGGCCTGGGTCTAATATGTCGAGGGAGAGGGCAGGCAGGGCGTTTGATCAAGCAGGAACAAGCGTCGGCGGGCCGTGTTCCTGGATTCTTGTGCAGCACGGCTTGGGGGGGTGGGGAGGCAGAGATGCATGATCAAGGGAGGGTCGGTTCAAAGAAGAGATTCATGTGCTCACCTGGGTCTTTCGTCTCTGGAAATGACGGGTGGGTCGTGGAAGCAAGGGGCTCTCTGTGACCATGGGGGTGGGCGACGTGCGAAGCAGGTTGGATGGATCACGATCTCGGGCGTTGTTTTAAGCAGAACGAGTGCGATGGTGCGTGTTCACTAGGTAGGTTGGCCGAAGGGGGCGCGCGCATGTGTCGAGGACAGTAGGCAGTCGCGGTGGTGGCGCGAAGTGCAAAGACGTGTCGGTGAGTGCGAGCAGTCAAGGATGGGTCGAGGCGCGTGATGTCGGAAGCCAAGATAGCAAAGTGAAGTGGAAGTCGTGGGAGAAGTCGAAGTCGAAGGAGTCGAAAGGTTGAGAGACAGATTCGGTCTGTTGGAGGTTTGGGAAACGGGATGGGGGGGTGGTGGTGAAAAGAGGGGAGGAGGAGAGCTGCAGGACGGGAAAGAGCAAACGGAGAAGCGGGAGTGAAGAGTGGATGTGGAGAGGGTGTGGACGTGGATGATCCAGAGGGCGCGCCGGAGCCTATGAGAGCGTGGGCAAGCGCGAGCCGTGGGAGGTGGAAGGTGGGTGGGTGCGCGCGCCTTCCTCCTTCCCAGGTACTACCTGCTTCAGTGCCAGTGCTTGACTGGGCCGCGCCTTGCTACGGTGCTACTTCCTGGTTCCTACTTCCTTGGTACTCGACTGACTTGGTGTGCTTCCTGGATGGGTGGGGATGATGATACCAGCCAGGGCCTGGTAAGGTGGTCAGCCAGCCAGAGGCAGACGTGACTTGCCCGAAAAGACGGAAGAGCCAGTGGTTGCAAGGTCCCAAGCACGCAGACCTGGTGGGGCGAGGGAGAGAGCGGGGATCGACGATTGGGCGAGCACGCCGCGGGCTGACACGAAGAGCAGGCCAGGCAAGCCAGGTCAGGGCAGGAGCAAGGCCGGGCGCGACAGGGATGAAGCCTGGGCCGGGGGTCGTGGCACTGGGAAGGTGTGGGCGCGCGAGACGAAGAGCTGGACGCGCTTTGGCGTTGGCACGCTGGTACGCTGCTGGCACGCTCGATGGGCAACGGATGATGGATGATGGCCTGAGCTCCAGGAGGGGGTGGGCGGAGGGGATGGCCGTGAAGTGGGCGGCAGAGTGGAGTGGCTCAGGTGCCTTGTGAAGGCTGGATTCTGGAAATTTATTTGACAGCAAGAGAAAAAAACTGATTCTGCGGCGCAAACTGGGGCGGAGAGGGCAGTCAGCGGCCTGTAGTTTTTTTTTTAGTTTTTTTTTTTTTTCCCCTTTGTCCCTGTCCTCCATAGACTATGAACCAGACTGGCTACTACACTCGGTCACAGCGATGGATAGCTGAGGGCGTTCGTGCCACGCCCATACTGCGGGCGAATGGACACCGGCAGGCGGCAGAGGGGAGTGTATCAAGACCAAGATGGTGCTACGCGGTATTGTAGGTTTCGAGAGGCGTTCGCTGATCGGGCTTATCTGAACTAGCAGCCAAGCCCTTCTCATCGAGCCTCGAGTCTAGCTACTCGAGGCTGAAGACAGACGCGTGCGTAGTGCCGCATGCTGGGATGGTGGAGCGCCATCTCGATCAGTGGACGCAGTGGGAATGGGATTGTCCTGCGCACGTCTCGTCGGCAGCTGCTAGTGCTGGGATCGACAGCGACGGAGGAGAGGGGAAGGATAGGCTGCATGCGTTGCAATGGTCGACGCGTCTCGAGTTTCGTCGTGATGACCGACCTGGCCTACTTGCCTACTAACGAGACCAGACCAGATCAGCGGTCGACAGAAGACGAGATGGACATGGTCATTGTGTGTGGCAGACGGGCATCGGACACGACGTGCATCGGGCCATGATGTTGCACGTCGTGCGAGGGTTTCGGGCCTGATTGGCTGTGGTCGTGGGCGCCAAAGGCCGACCAGTTGGTGGCCAGATTCGCCTCGACGTCGAGATGCACTCGAGTGCACCAAAGGCCGCCGCAAGCGCGTGAAGTCGGCCTACAACGCGCCGCCGAGACGCGTCGACGCGCCCAGTTGTTTACATTCCGGGCCAATGGGACGTCTCCGTTTGCCGTCAGCCAATGAACCCCGCCACACCTTCCCTGCATGCGACGTGCAATTTCTGATTCGCCCATTGGACCTCATTCAACGACTCTGGTACCTGACTTGGCCGCCCACCTGCTGAGATGTGAGATTCGAGATTCGAGATTCGAGATCCGGGTCTGGCTGTCTTAATCCTGACTTCACGTCATCCCCATTGGCAAGGACAAGGAGACAGGTGCCTGATACACAGAGGAACATTGATCGTCATGACACATGGGCATGTTCCTCGTCGATGGGAAGGGCCTCCTCGCCACGGCTCGAGTATGAACCCCGCATGACTTAATTCCTGTCCAACAGAGGGCCCAGCAGCGCCCCAGCTCAACACCCAGTGGCCTCGCCGTGCCGGGCTGCCCTTCGGGCCAACCTGCCCCTCTACAACTCCACCGCAGGCCACCACAGACCACTACCACCACTAAAACTCATCATTCGGAATGCCCGTGACGCACCACTACCGGGCGCCCATTTTTAGCAGTCCTTTCCCTCCCCTTCCTTTGTGAGTCTGGCACGCCGGCTCGGGCTGGGTTTCTTCCCCCAGAGCTCCCGTTCCATTGTGCCGACGACCGCATACCAGCAGCTATTGGCGCCGCCCCGGCATGGTCGGACAGACATGGCCCAGCCTGCCAGCTTTTTTTTCCGCGTTTCTCCCCCCCCTTCCCAAGGCGGCCACCGGCGTGAATCGCAAAGGTACCACTGCAGACGGAGCGACACAGGAGATGGCAGAACGCTGTGTCTCCCCGCCCCGGCAGATGGAGCCGATTGAGATATGGAGCAAACGGAGCGAATGGAACCTCGGGACTGCCAGGCTGCACTGCCGAGACCCAGGACGAGCCAATGACGCCATGGTGATTCGGATCCGCGTCCTCCTCTCTGCCTCCACTTGCTCTGTCATTCTTATCAGACCTTTCACTCAGACAGGATCCCCTGAAGCAGCAGGCATTCAGCAGTCATTCACAGCCATCCCTACTGGAGAGAGAAACGAAAGAGAGAGAGAGAGAGAGAGAGAAAAAAAAATGGCCCTAAAACAGCTTCCCCCCACATGGGCCTGGCTCTGGTCAAAGCTTGGGCAAAAGAAGAAGTCCAGTGCTCAAATGTCAGGCCGAGGTGAACCAGGTTCAGTGTTTCCCATGGCCTGGTATTCCTCACAGTCGGGCTGTCATTAGCTCATCACCAGAAAGATTCAGAGCTGCATCTGACATCATGGCATTCAGACCTTGGACTCGCCCCCGATCCGAGCTTTCAGCCTAGCGCAACCCACGGCTCCA